AGTCTACCATCCCATCATTCAAGGGTGGTTTTCACTATAAGTAATAATAATAATAATTTCCATTTTTTTACTGTGTTCAATCTGAATTCACTTTAAAATAAAAACATTTATATTGATTCTGACACTTCTACATCCAACTCACAGGTGTAACCTTGCTTTGAGAAAAAGGATTATGAATGTAACCCTTTTAGAAGTGAAGATATGGTCATTTGTTCTGGGAATGTCATAGTAGTTAATCTATAGGTTAATCCAGTGGTTCCCAAACTTTTTCAGTCGGGACCCCCTTGGGTATTGGAAATATTTTCGGGACTCCCCAACCCGGTTCCCATCTATATTGGTAGGATTAATTGTATATTGTTGTAAAAACATTACATTTTCTCTGCTAATAATAAGAAGATACAAAGATCCAACTATAATTGTATATTTTATTATAGATTACATTTACACATGAACAAAAGTGCTTGTAATAGATACTGTGAATTAATTTGGCCTAATTAAAACTGTTTGGCCTTCTTCCCTGAGTTGTAGATTTTTAAATTCAAATTTCTTTAAGGAAAATATATTAATTAACTACTATTTCTAGTGCAGGTTGCAAACGATCACATCACTTTACCATTCCTATTCCACACTAGCTTATCAATTACTTGTGTGTGCTTGCTTTCCCTTGCAGATCTTCTCAAACCAGGGCTGTTGTTTTGAGACTGCCACTCTCAGTTCATTCTCAATGTTCAGCTTTGATCTGTATTTCGTTTTGATGGCAGCAACAGCAGAAAAAGCCTATCTCACACAAGTAGGATGTTGCAAAAGGCAGCATTATGCCCACAGCTCTCTGACCAATGAGATATTTTCGAGCAGTGTTTGTTTACAATTGAATAATAATAATAACAATACATTTGATTTATATAGGTGCACTTTAAAAACAACGTAATCTCAAGGTGCTTCACAAATAGGCCATAAGGTGAACCCTGTTATCGTTTCAACCCGCTCCACAGAAGTGAAACTACACAATCTTTAGTTCATAAAAAAGAACGAGTCATGCTTATCCACCAAAAAAAATATCGTCGCTAAAATTCCTGCCAATTCTTCTAGGCACGTAATTATTGGCTGAACTAGTCCCTTCGAAGCGTAATAATATCTTGGTCCAAAGTCGTGCCACGGTTCGTCACGTGATCATGCTACACCAATTGGGTAGCTGCATATTGTCAACAGAAGTGAAAGATGGCGGCCGCCATGGTTACGCTAAACCAGACCAAATGGATTCTAAACAGTGCTGTATGCTTGTTTTATGTCATGTTTTGTCATATGTCTTAATACATCACTAAGTCCGAGGTATTTGCGTTATATACGCGGTATTTGTGAGAGGTTTTACTATCTGGGAACAGAGTTGACCATCGAATCAACATTGACTAGCAGCGTTTATCAGCCAACTCCAGCTACAAACAATTTCCCCACGGGGATTAATAAAGTATATCAAACTCATATTTATCAAACTATCATTCCTGGACTGCCATGTTCACATCGCTAGGTTCATTGGGATTATTCCATTAGACTGAGGACTTTTTGTCTGTCTGTTGTTACCCTGTACACGTTAAATGCACTCTTAAAATAAACATGACTTGATTTCTGCGTCCAAGAAGAAGGTTAACTTGTTACGTTAAGTAATTTAGATCAATAAAATGCAGTACTTCCAGGCTGAAGACTTTTCTTTTTGTTGCTGCTTTTAATTGAACTATTCATATCTTAGACTGCACTGTAACTTTTATCCATGAATTTTTTCTTTTAATGTTTCTTTTATTAGCTTTTCTTTTGAATGACTGATTTTAAATGCCATTTTCTTAATGTCTTTAATTTTTTGTAAAACACTTTGAATTGCCTTGTGTTGAAAAGTGCTATATAAATAAACTTGCCTTGCCTTACTTATACCAATGTCCATTGATTCATTTATTTACTCATTCATCCCTCCACAAATGAAAACAACACTGATGAACCATAAAAACGAGATTTATTACAAATATAAAAGGTATGACATAGAAAACAGTAGAAGGACATGTAATGTAGTATAATTGATTGGTGTCAGGCTGGGCGGAGCGGCTGATTGGTGCTGTGATTGCCTCAGCTGGTTAAAAGAGTCCTGCTGATTATACTCTGTTCTAGTACCAAAAACAAACGTATCTATGAGTGATGTGTGAGCGCGTCGGCCAGGCACTAAAACCAAAAGAACAGAAAAGAGCTTAACAAAGATGGAAAGAAGGCTCTTTTATTCCTATTCCTCACTGTCAGTGTCAGGGCAGTCATCGTTCTCTTCCTCTGTTTCTTTTTTATTTGCACAATTTGAGCAACGACATAAGTCTGTGCAACAGAGTCCTGCAGAGAAGCATGAACATCTGCCTTTCTCACAGGCAGACTCTTTGCAGCTGCAGTGTATCACATGCAACACACTGTCAGGGGCAGGATTTCTTGTCATCCAGGTGACGTGTAAGTTCCCATCCTCTATTTCCCAACCATATCCAGCAGGTGATGGAGCATTCATTTCTCTTTTGAGACAGGACCTCATTATTGCTGCCTGGTAATTTGCCCTTTTGCAGTGCTGATGGAGGGCATCATGAGTAGGGGGAATGCTTAATTCTGGCAAGGCCGATGATGCCATACAGAAAGCCTTGTACCTAGCATCATTTACATGTTCGGCTGCTGGCTGATCATACAGGTGACATACATACCGGCAAAGAAGTGCAAATGTTGATTGCTCCAAGTCAAAGTTAGTACCTAAACTTCTGAAAGCCTTAAGGTAGTCATCTTTCTCACATGCAACAGCAAATGACTTTCTTTTGCCTTTGCCATAGAAAGCGCTTGTGAAGTCACACCCAGAGAACGTGTGAATTCCAATCAAGGCTGAACACACACTGGTTCCGAGAGCTGATGACACCATGGCAATGTCAATGATCCGTGTCCTGTTGCCAGTCCCTGTGAACACATATAAGCTGCATGGCAAATCTGCCTGCAGACTTACAGCAATGACTGCCACATCAGTGTCCGAGCTCTTGATGATGACAGCTTTGTGCTCCTGTGCAGCATGTTGGGCATGTAAAAACACCCGTGTGTCACATTCCTCATGATCACACTGCAGGTCTTCAACAACATCAACAGACTGTACACCCTCCATGACAGTTACACAGTGGCATTGATTTTGATGGGCAATGTACAAGCTGAGGTTTTTACCCACTGTTGTGAGGTCTGCATGTGTCCATGCCACATAAAGGAATTCGGCCAGTGCTTCCTTATTTTTTCCGTCAGAGAGAAACTTCTTCCACTGGGTTGGAGTTCTCTGATCTGGGCTGAAGATTGTTATTAGTTGTGACCCTGCATCAGCTCTACGGGACCGTTCTAGGCTTTTGATGCTGATGGGTGGATACCGGTCAGTGACAAAATCAATGCGTGTACACTTGTGATGCAAAGCAAGTTGGAGTATGCTCTGCAGTATGGTCTCTGCAAGCTCTCCAAATGTTGCTGGTCTGGATGGCATGGCCTGCATGACTGCCATGCCATCAAAAAGAATGGCACCACCTATTGGAACTTTGTCAACCAAGCACTCTCCACCTTTGCTCTGCAATAGATCCATGAGAGCTGATTTGTTTGTTTTGGCAAGTGAACCATCAGCACTTGCTAATGGATATGACACAGTTCCCAAGGAATATGACAGAATTTCCCTCATTTCAATTTTCCTGCTCTGGCCAAGGATGAGGAGCCTGGAAAATAACTTCTTGTCAGCACGCAAAATCACTTCCTTGCCTGCTGCAGATTTTTTGGGGGGCTTTTTCTGATCACTGAGAGTCTTGAGTTTTTGTGATATTATGGGGGCAAATATGTCAACTGTTTTGGATAACAGTCTCTGCTCCATAAACTCCTTTACAGCATTTTCACCCTTTTCTGAGGCAACAAGCAAATCCTTTGTGATTTCTCCTGTTGCTACTCTTCCAGAGCTAAGACACACAATGCCGTCTTGGTGTACATCAAAAGGGTTGAGCATGGAATCAATAGTGTCCAAGATTCTACTCACAGCCTTTGCATCAGCAGAGATGCGTGTCTTGTCCAGGTCTTTTCTTGTCCGTAGCTCAGGAGATATCCCTGCCATTGATTCACACTGTCTTGCTATCGCGGCTCTTTCATGCTGTGACAGTATCCAGCGATACACTGCAGACCGATTTTGTGTGATCCCTGTCCAGCCACCTTTGGTCTTGGCATCTCTGTTAAGCATTTGCTCAATAGCCTGGTCGCAAGCAATGGAGGCAAATCCATGAACACTTTGTCGCTGGACAGTCCACTGGCCTTTCACATTCATGTCACTGTGGCAAGAGGGATGTGTGACAGGCAGATTCATCATTTCCAGCCAGTATGCAGGTAAATATCGAGCGTAATTTACTCTATCGTAGGCAAAAAACCATGGCATCATTAACCGGACGGTTGACAGGTGAAGCTGCCAGTTTGATTCTTGCGTTGCTCTCACAAACAGGAGGAGTAGCTGCATCATGTCAATGTATGAGCTCCAGAAAGCAAATGTTGCATTCTCTGTACTCCTCCTCTGCACAAAGTCTGCATATTTCGAGCACATATTATCAAACCTCTGATCTGCACTCAAAACATCCATCAATCTGTCTGGAAAGGCACATTCCATCTCAGTGATGACATCCATGCACGCAGCTCTCTCTTGGGGTGGCAAGGAGTCCATGAAGGTGATAAACCGGATGCGCTGCAGACTCTCATATAGAAGTTTATGAGCCCTCATGCTGCGATTGTAGTGATGGCCATTGAGTACCCCATTGATGGATCCTGGGGCAACAACTTCAGATTCAATGAGGATATCTTGCAGTCCTGCATCTCCGAACCTTTTCCCTAGAATACTCAGGTAGGACATGCATGTATGGAATTCACCTAGTCTAATCACTAGACGCTTTGTAAACTCAACATCCTTCCAGCGTATTTGCTGTGCTTTGGCATATAGCCTGGTCAAACACTAAAACTATATGATCCAGTTCTAGCTGGTCAGCAATCTGGACACTTCGCTTCAGGATAGTGTTGACTGTTGACATCTCTGTTGGTGAGGCTTCAATGACTGGAAGATAATACAATGCGGACTTCTGCAGAGTGTTTTCATCCTGAAGCAGTGTATGGAACCCTGTCCAGCTTGGGATTGTACAACTATCCGTACATGTGGACTTCACAAAAGCATATGCCATTTCAGCTTGTACAGCAAAGTGGGTGTCCATTCTGCATGTCGCTGACTGCACTGGTTGACACAAGTTCTGTGGCCCTTGCCTTTTGGACTGATGGTAAGGTTGTATAGGCATTGGGGGGGGGGGCTATGAATGAGGTAACTCCCTTTCTCAGTGGCTGTCTGATTGCTGTGGACATAGGCTCGCCGGGCACACTCTGGAGCATAATTCCATTTGTATGGTGAGTAGTTCCACGACCCGATAGTGTCTCCTCACCAAAGTCAATGTTATCCCACACAAGTGTTGTGGGTGTCCGCTTTGAGAATCCCTTCGGTATTTTGTCTCTGCCTTCTACTAGTGTCAGTTGGGCAAGGCTAGTGTCTAGACTCAAAACTGTGTCCCATGATGCACAATGTCCCAGTCTGTTAAGCAGTGATACAATGCGTGATGATCCAGTTAAATGTCGAACAGTTAAACCTAAAGCCAAGGACTTGGGTGTCTGCTTGCGGCCCTTGGAAGCAAGGTACACAATGTCTTGACAAACAGACAACACTTTCAAATGTACGTCATCATCAATGTTGACATAATGATCCAGTGTTGGCTCCTCAGTGGAACCTATAATCCAGCTGAGCAGATTGTATAGTCCAATGGGGACAACAGTTTGAGATTCAGTGACATTTACATTTTCAGAAGTGGGAGGCCATGGGCATGACATGCCAGGAGTGTCACTAAGCAGTCTTTTCAAAAACAACGCTGCTGTATACAGTGTCCTTGTGTCCTCATGTGTTGTTTGGCACTTTGTTCTCCCTGTTTCATTGTCGCTGTCTGTCTGGCTCAATTCACTGGACTGTGTTGTTTCCGTACCGGATGGATCTGGTAGCATGTCCACGAGTGCATCCTTTGACAGAGTCTCAGCAAAAACCAGTTCGCAGACGTTGCGCTTGGTGGGCATGTGAAACGCTAGCTGAGGGAAATCTTGAGCCAGCCTCTTCTTCAACAGATCCTGTCTGTAACACAACAAAACAGTGACAATTACGAGTCACAGGAGTACCATCAAAAGCAGAGTGGTGGAGGTGATACAAGACATTACAGACTAGAACCTATCTGCCATACAGCACATTTAACACCAAAGAAGCCAAATAAAGGCCCACATCATCACAAACAACACTACACACTACACATCATGGGGGTTTCTCCAAACAGGCCTGTCATACACATTTTGTTTAAAGCTGGCCTTGCACATGATAAATAATAAGACTTGTATTACATTGCAGTTACCTGTAGTTTGAAGCATCAACACCTTCGTTTGCTTTCACCATGTCAATGAAGGCCTGCCTCAGCTGGCCCATTCTAAGCACCTCATTGTTGACAAGCAGCCTCTGGCGGATGATCCTCTCACAGAACAGCTTGTAACTGGCATCAAACATTGCCTCATCCCTACAACACATGAATGAGAAGTAAATAAATGGATAAATGAATAAGTGTTGTGATTGTGTGCACATATAACAGAAGGAAATTGGATGTTTACTTATAATGTTAAGTATGTGTATGTGTATATATATATATAGCCATCGCCGACACACACCTGGACTTCAGTCTGGTGGTAGTGCAAATAGGTAAAGCAATCCAAGGAGAAATAACTTACTGTTTTGTCTCTGGTTTGTCAGGTCTCAGCAAAAACATGGTGTACTGACTGTAACAGCTTTTGTGGTACCGCACCTCCAGAGCCACACAGTCTTTGTCTTTTATATGTAAAAGAACACTTTGGTCATCTTTCTTCTCAGCAGCTTTCTGCAATTTGCCTAAACGGAAAAAAAGGACAACTCAATGAGTTTGTTGACGTATCTCTCACACATAATTGTACCTTTCAGTTATTCAACCACAGAGAATGTGTGTGTGTGTGTGTGTGTGGTGTGTGTGTGTAGTGTGTGTGTGGTGTGTGGGTGGGGGAGGGGGTTTGCTTACCTGCTTTTAATGTTTCAGCCTTACACAGTTGATCCCTTTGTCGCTTGCCTGCTTTGATGATCATTTTCTCCTTCATCTTGCATATAATGCACAGGGCAGGAAGGACGGGGCCAGAGCCTGCGATTGGCAGGCCTGACCTTGATCGTAGCTTCTCTGTTTGGCTTCGGTACGTGCTGCGAGACGTCGATGGGATGGGCTCGACCTCAAGGTCCTCCCTAACGTCTTGATCTCCCTCACGTGCGAGCCGTCTTTCCACCTTCGTCATGGCCTTTGTGTCGGTAAACCTTATGTAGCATGTGTGGTGGAAGCCAGCGTCCTCAGGAATATCTTCGAACTCGAAATCAAGACAGTGCTTGTGGTTTTCAGCCACCACGTTCCGAGAGTCTCCCTTCAAGCCGAGCGACCATTGTAAGCTTGTCCTGTACGTATTCCATCTTGTATTGGTAAAACAATCAACCTTTTCGTGCTTCACAGACGTAATATGCATGTAACAATGTTTGTGTGTTGACAATTTTGACTTTTTGAGACTTTCTGGTGCGTTTTCCTCGTCTCCGCTACTCGATGAAACCATGGCGGCCGCCATCTTTCACTTCTGTTGACAATATGCAGCTACCCAATTGGTGTAGCACGATCACGTGATGAACCGTGGCACGACTTTGGACCAAGATATTATTACGCTTCGAAGGGAATAGTTCAGCCAATAATTACGTGCCTAGAAGAATTGGCAGGAATTTTAGCGACGAAATTTTTTTTGGTGGATAAGCATGAATCGTTCTTTTTTATGAACTAAAGATTGTGTAGTTTCACTTCTGTGGAGCGGGATTTATTTTCTAAAGGACTTTTCGAGGTTCACCTTGCGGCCTAAAAGTTAAAGGAGAAAATAATCAAATTAAAAAATCTTCCCGCGACCCCCCTGCAGTACCTCCGCGACCCACCAGGGGTCGCGCCCCACAGTTTGAAACCCACTGGGTTAATCCAATGTGTCTGTGTCCCCTTTGAAATGTTCTGATAATCCAACCCAGTCTCACAAAAAAACGTGTAATAACTACGTTGGTCCACAATGTAGGACGTAGTATTTCTACAAAAACGCCTCTGAAATTGTAAGATCCCTACATTTGTTTTCACCATTCATTCCAATGGCTGGCGTCTATGTCACGTGATCTTCACATTTCTCCCTGCAGAAAAAAAAAACATGGCCGAACTTCGTTTTATTCTCGGTGTAAAATGCCTATTTTAAAGTTAGTTTGGCCATTAAAATGCCTTTTGATGTCATTTGATGCGAGAAATATGAGTTGTTATTTCAGATTATGTGTGCAGTGGATGTACATGATCTTTAGTTTGCTAGTTATTACGAAGATTACTTCAGGAAATTGTGTCTATATGTGACGAAGGTAACTTCACTGTGAACTGACGGCTTCGGGCCTCGTAACTCAGCACTTTAGTGCAGGGGCGGCGCCAGGGGGGAGCTAGGGGGTGCTGAAGCACCCCCCAGGATTGCCAAAGCACCCCCTAAGCACCCCCAAGAAATATGTGTTTTTGTTTTTTTTTTCGAAAATTATTATTATTATTTTTATTAAATTAAATTAGAAATATTATTGATTACATCAATGCATATGTGAAACAAACACATTTTTGACCAAAAACATAAAGCCAACACAGGTGATATGATTAGGCCAATGGTCAGCACCCATTCGATTTTTGACCTACCCATAGGCTAAATTACTTTGTGACACTTGATTGACTTCCTGTTAGCTAGAGCGCCAAATGATTTGCTAACAGCAAAGTGAAAAATTGATCGTTTTCTAGTCCTTAAACGACCACGTGTGGACACTCAATCAAAACCAACTGAAAGCGAGAGGGATTCTGCACATAATAGGCCTCGTGAGTACAAGTAGCTTACTTCTGGGTCTCTGTGTTTCATTCAAGCCCTGCTCTGTGTGTGTGTGTGTGTGTGTGTGTGTGTGTGTGTGTGTGTGTGTGTGTGTGTGTGTGTGGCACGAGCTATTTTGTGTGCGTGCGTGCGCGAGCGAGCGAGAGAGCTCGCCTCGCGCACCAGTGGGTATCTACCGGAGATCGTTGTGGTTAGCATCTGGTGCTAGCTAGCCAAGCTAATGGATATAAGGAGCTTTTTCAACAACAAGGTGGAGGGAGAACTCTCTCCTGTCAGACGGAGAGTCTCAGGTAACCTCAACTCAGGTGAAGTAAAGGACTCTCTCAGTGTTTAGATAGTTAACTTTAGTCTAGTTATCTCAGTGGGTCTCAAACGGTTTGTTTTAAAAGGGGAGTGATTTGTAAAATATCTATAAAGAAATAGAAAATCTGTTGACAGTTCTGTTTCGTATGGGGGTTGAGATGTATCCATAGATCTCTTAATGTTGCTCTCAAAGTGCACCAGATTGATGCTTTTAACTTAAATATGTAACAAAAAATCTTCCCGGGGGAGCTAGCCCCCGGACCCCCCTAGAGGAGGTGAGGACCCTCCTAGAGGAGGTGAGGTCCGCTCCCCACTTGTAAAAATAGCACTTTACCCCTGCCTATATGCCGTGAGCTGATTATCGAGCCTTCATTGTAACAGTCGCGGGTGCACTGTGTGTGTGTGCGTGGGGAGTGTTGCAGTAGAAAATTCAACTGTAGCGCTGGTGCATTAATGGGAAACCCTAAATGTTTGAGCACCCTCTATGAAACGTCAAGCTACCCCACAGCACCCCCTAGAGAAAATCTCTGGCGCCGCCACTGCTTTAGTGAACAGTTTTGCACTTTATTAGCGTGATTGCACAGTACCGTTTGGCATGGCATATTTGCACATTTTATGTAATTTATACTAATTATTGAGATAGTATTTATTAAAGGATTACACCGTATTGATTGAAATGTCGTCTGGCAGGTGCTGGTCGGGTCCTCGGCTCCGCCTGACAAGATAGGGGAGTTAGCGAGAGCGCCGAAAGTGCTTATGCTGGGGTAGAATGACAGCGGTTAAGAATAATCCGGGTGCAAATAATATGTGGGGGTGTAGACATCATAGCGTTAAGTGGCAGTAATTGTTCAAGTGCTGACTGCGTTTAGTTGGGTTTGTATGTGTGTACTTCTGTACAGTTATAAGTTTGTGTTCTAAAAGTGTTCCCCCTCCCGTTATGTCTGTTGCTGATTGTGTGCACCTGGTGTCCTATGTTCGTTGTCTCCTTCCCCCTCACCCGTGTCTTGTTGTGCTGATTAGAGTGTGTGTATTTAGGCTCTGTTTCCCTGTCTGTTGAGGAGGCAGGGACTGTGGGTGCAACACACTCTCACTCCCTCCCTAAGCGTCCAGGAGCGACGTTTGGTCAGTGTCCGTGGCGTCCAGTTGTGACGCTCCTAGGCTCCTTCAGCGTCATAAAGGGACGCAAATAGCTTTCAACTGACTGCAATGTATTCCCATCTGCGGCGGGATTTGACGCTCATGGAAGCACGGCATTCGTTTGTGTCGGCTGCCCTTAAAGGCAATGTGAGCGTCCATCCCCATTGGATAACGGAGAATTGTACACCCGGAAGTAAGTATTCCTCTTACTGTCGATTGATTTTACAGTGATATCTGCACTACTCATCGACTAAAAAACACCAGATTATCCTTGTTAATTACACAACATTGATTGGTTTAAATTATGTGCAATGCTTTTGTATTTTTCCCCTTCGATTCGGAGAAACAAATATTTTTTCGGAGTAAAGGATGGCAGAAGACACTACACTACCCAGAATCCCCAGCTATCATTTGGACTACACCATGTGCTCTGTTTGACAAACCCCGTGATAGTCCTCAAGCTCTGTGATTGGAGAGTTTGCTCCGAGGGTTACGCCGATTCTCGAACAGCACTTGAAATGGGATGGAACCACGGCAGACTGTCCAAAACTGGATTTGAACGGGTCCACCGCGCACCCCCCGTCCCCAGAACTACACATGCTGGCTATTCTGTTTCGCAACATGTTATCTATCTATGGCACGTCTCTACTGGGAGTTGTAGTTTTAAAAGACGTTTTCGTATTTCCCATAATAAGAAGTTGCCAGTATTAAACTGTGTACATCCCTGGAGGTTTAGGGGATAGGAAACACTCAAATTTAAAACATATAATTAATAAATGGGTGAAAATTGCTTGTGCCCATAATGGGCAGCATTAATATATATACACACATGCCAGCTAAGGTCACAAGAGCTTTATTTAACAGCTGGTCTTATGTTTGTGACCCCTGTTGTTAATTGATAACATTACATTACATGAATTGATAAGCCTGAAACATGCACTTGTCAAGGTTCAGAGGCAAATTTTGCAAATATGGCAGTAGCCATCGATCAGCTTAAGATAAGATATACTTTATTGATCCCAAGTTGGAACATTTGCGTTACATCAGCATGTGTAACAGTTGTACATATGCAGTGGTGTTTATTTGTAAATCATTTAGTATAATCACACAAATTCTGTGTTTTATATTTAACAATTCTGTGTTTTTATTTATTGATTGTTCAATACCTGACAAGGCCGGAGATGAAATATCTACATACATCTTATAAGAGTATAATACATTATGTATAATATCAGTTAAAATAAGTGCTTCAACATAGTTAACATTGCTGGAGGTATGCACAAATATTGATAGATGTCTTGTCACTATTGAGGAACCTGCGACCCAAGTTTTTCATT